GTTTCCCGCCTGCATAGACGTCTGCCTGCCTGGCCTTCGGCGATTGCAGGCAGGTGAGCCCCTCGACCCCGGGCTGGGTGGAAGAATGCTTTTTCCCACCTCCAGCTTCCCCTCAACAGTTTGGGGAGGGGGTCTCTGTCTAGCGCGCCTCGGGAAACAACCTCCTTGACCCCGGGTTTGTTATTCCTGGCAGGCGTTGATACTGCTGCCTCCACCGCCCCTCGCCGGCCTTTGCAATGCCCTGTGCCCTTGGGGGTGAGATTGAGGGGCGATGCCCGATTTTCAGGGAGGGCGTGGAGTTCGCCTTTAGCTCCATTGGCTTCGGGGGAGGAGGGGAGTTGGCGAGACTCCAGGTGGGAGCTGGATGGACTGCGCCCCTATTTCCCCTCCAGGAGAGTCAGAGAAAGCGCCTTCTGGGCTCCTGGGCCAGCTCAGCTCCTTTGGGCAAGCGCTTCTGAGGACCCAAGGTCTTCGCGCTTCCCGGGGGTCCTAATCCTTCCCGCGTTCTTCATGACACCGCTTATTACTATCGCAAGCTCTTGATTCCTGGAGCTGGCAGTCTGGGGCAGGGCCAGCGATGCTCCCCGTCTCTGCAGTGCCAAGCAGTGGGGTGGAAGGAGCGGCCAGCTCGAGCGAGGCCGGGTGGGGGTGGGGGTGGGCGCAACAGGAAAGAGAGCCGGAATGGACATTCCTGAATCGGCAGGGTGGGAGTGGGGCGCTGACTTTCTTCTATGCAGGAGGAATATTTTTTAGTACAGATCTTGAGGCTTTTTGATGGTAGGTGGGAGGAGAGGTCGGGTTGGAGGACTTGGAAATGTGGTGTGGGTGGCTTTCTTTGAGGAGGAGGAGGTATTCAGGACAAAGTGCCACTAGGTGCTGATGTCACCTTTAAGGGGAGGTGTGCTGGTAGTATCCATTAGCTGGGTAGGGGAGCCCAGCTGCTGTTGGGTCTGCTCTCCTACCTGGAGAGCAAGTAGTTAAGGAGGAGGCTCAGCTTAGCTTGGGGATCCTCTCCTGGTGAGAGCTGAAGGGGCCCCTCCAGGAGCCAGGTTTCAGGGACTTCCTGCAGTCCTCTCCAGAGTTGTTGGAACTGGTACCCAGCACCTCGTTCCACATCCAGCAAACACTGAGCACCTTCTACATGGGAGACACCATGTTGGGTGCTTAGTCTTCTGAAGGCAATTTGGGGCCATGGAACAGCTGAAAGGCACACATAGTAGGCACACATAGTAGGCACTCAACCCCCACCCCTGACAGTTTTGTTACATTGCTATTGGGCTGGAAAAAGCTGTGTCCACATGCTTTCAAACAGCTCTCTGAGCTAGATTCCTATCCATGTACCACCCATCACTCTTAAGGGGCCAGGTAGTCCCAGGAACGAAGTGACCTCAAAGTAGTGAAATGGTGAGTGGCACAAGGGTTACCGAGGGTCAAGCATGCTTTAGACACTGCACAGTGGGAGACGCCATCTTTGGAAGACAAGCATGGGGGAGGGAGGCTTGGAGAGAGGTCTCATCCAGGGGTATTTGGTGTGTGCTGCTGAACTTGTCATGATGTCAGGACTGAGAGTGTGCAGTCTGGCAGCTGGGTGGTGAAGGAGGGACTGGAAGGGCAGGGCAGGGCAGGCAGGCAGGCTTCTAGGGCCCCTCTCTGTGTGGCTTTGCTGAAATCTCAGAGTTGGGAAGAGTTGACAGGGTTTACTTGTGGTTCCTTTCTGAGCCTCAGAATAGCAGAGCCAGGGGAGAGAATGAGTATTGGGCCTTGGTAGCAATGAGGTAGGGTGAAGGCTCAGTGGGGCTAGGGATCTGGGTGCCAAGTGGGCATTAAGATATGGAAGTGGGCCGGCCGCGGTGACACAGTGGCAGGCTGGCCATGGTGACATGGTGCAGAGCAGGAAGCACTGCTGTTCAATACTGGAGCCATATAGGAAGGCCCAGGGTTCATATCTTGGATTGACCTGAACAAGTCAGGTGTGCCCTAATCCTGGTTGACTGGAAGGCC